CTTATACACTGGTTTAAATTTATTAATATAATTTTTAATAATATTATTATTTTTTATTTTTAATAATCTAACATCACCTAAATTATAAGATAATACAAGGTTTTTAATGTCTAATGGTAAATCATAAAAAAACATATAATATTAATATATTTATGTATTTAATTAGTGATTTTCAAATATTGAGAAAAGTTTTTCATAAAGATACGGTTAGGGTCTTTTTGGAGAAGGTTAATATATAAAAAGCTATGTGGTTGTTCAGTTGCTTTTTCATATATTTTATAAATTAGTTTCTTGCTTTCGTGCAAACTATCGCTTCTAACAATTGCCGATAATTCATCTTGTAATATTTCTATTTCTTTAAAATTTCTAACTTTATAATAAAACAAATGACTTACATTTACTCTAATAATTGGTGGGACACTTGATGATTTCTGAAGACTGACAAGCGTTGATATTCCACTATGACGTCCCCTACAGAATAAAGAATTTAACAATTTGTTATTTCTTGTTATTGCTGGGTTATCAGATACATCATCCAATATAACTAATATATTAAATAACTTCTTCATTCCTTGTTTTTTCTGGTATTCAATTATTTTATTTTGAGTTTCTATAACTCTTTCTAAATCTTCAACATTGAACTCATCCCACCAACACGGTTCTTTATCAGTATCTACTTTCAAACCTTCTTTAATGTACTTTTTGACAGGCAACCAAATACTATCCAAATTTACAGATGGGGACCAGATAAAAACTCTTTCAAATGCTCCTCTATAAATATCAAGTATCATTGATACAAGTAGGGTGCTCTTTCCAGAACCAGACGGCCCTACAATCATTGCTCTCATCGGCAATTTAGGGACGACCTCGTGCTTACTTTGTTTAAAGTCATATTTGATTTCATCAATTGGTTTTACATCAGGCATAATAAAAGTAATATTAAAGACATTTAGAAAATAATTTAATATTTATTATTTTATATGAATAGAAGTTATTCAGATTATATCAATATAACAGATAAAGTAGAAAATATAGAACAAGTTGTTATAACCGATAATAGATTTAAGAAAGTATGCTATTTTGTTTTAGAATTAATTAAGTTTGTGATACAATATATTAAAAATATAAATATTAATATAGATGGGGAGAAAGAAAAAGAATAAGACAGAATCAGTTGTTTCTTCAACTGATGAAGAAATTGTTAAAGAAGCATCAGTTATTGAGTTTGCTTGCCCAATGTGTAAAAAGATGTTACAAATGAAAAATGAATTAGAAATTCAAAAGAAAGGAAACTGTAAATGTTCGTGTATTCCGACAAGTTTCAAAATTAGTAAAAATGATAAGAAAATGAATATTGATAAAACTAAAGACAGTATCAACTTAGAAACAGATGTTCATAATATTGCTATACGATTTGGGAGGGGAGTTACTCCATCAGATAATGGTGATAAGGAAACACAGGAGACTGTTAAACAAATAATGAAAAACTAGTATTTAAAGAGTAGATTTAACATAATTGCAACATTTAGTTTTAAAAGTTTAGTTTTATAATTTAGTATATATGGAGGAACATTTAGCGAACATTGACAGTAGTTTAGAGTTGTTGTTTCCAAGATTAGAAAAAGTGTTGGAGCAAAATGAAAACATACTGAACATCTTAAAGAGCATGAATATTAAACCTACATATAATAACAATAACAATTATCAAGCAAAAGAAGTAGATAGAGACAGTAGCGAATACAAAAATAAACGAAACATTTATGTTAAAAAACTGAATGAAAAAATCATAAAAGAACCTAAACAATCAAGTCTGGATTACTATCAAGTCAAGTATAAAGAAGATACCAAGAAATACGTTTAATCATTAACTAACAAAATTTCGTGTCTCAAAAGCGGTTTGTTTATTCCTGCTACTTTGTAAGTTTTATTACCCATAATATCATATTCAATTTTATCAATATTGAATATTTTATTAGACCATTTAGAGTTATACTCCTTTCTGTCGGTGTAGACGGTGCCATCCTTGTTGATGAGTGAGATGTGCTGTTATACTGTTTCAATGCTTGCGTTAGGGCATCGGTCCATTTCATGTTGTTAAACCTAACTCTATCGTGAATTTTGTTTTTCATCGTTCTAATAAAACGCTCGGCCACATTTGCGTGGGTCTTCGTGACGATGTGGTTTATTCCTTCACTGTTGAAGAAATCCTGAACTTGATTTTTAGTTGCAAACGCTCCGTCGTCATCAGAATACACGGACATCGGATAACCCATCTTTTTAAAGCTTGCTCTCAACGCCTTCAAAACGTGCTCTCCGTCTCTTTCCTCCATCGGTATTACATCAGCTAATTTACTGAAGATGTCAATCACGACTAAAGCATACTGTGGAACGATCTTGTCTTTTGCTAAAGGTGACATATGCATTATGTCTATTTGATATTCATATCGTGCGAATGGAGCGGTATAGGAATTAGTACCTCTATAATTTTTGATTTGTTTATTTGGTTGTTTCTTTAAGAAAGACTTTACATCGTCTAATGTTATTGTTGGGTCTTCTTCCTTTGCCTTCTTGTGTGTCGCTTGTGTGCTTCCGAAACCCTCGTCTAAGTCGTAATAGATGTTGCTGATTATTTGGTCTTTTGTTAATCTCGCCATTATATTAAATTGATAGAAAATATTTTTTCAATATAAAGCCCCGCCCCTTAACATAAAATAAAAACTACTTAAAGAAATATTAACTTATTATATTAAGTGAAAATTATGGCTGAAATAAGATTAGATGACTTGAATTTAGAAAATGTCGGAGCGATTGCTGACTTATCAAACTTGGTGCTATCAGACGAAGAAGATGATGATAATGACAGTTATAAAAAGGAATTAGATGAAGAGTTAAACAAAATAAAGGATTTCATCCAAAGACACCCTTTGCCACCAGTTGATGAAAACGAAGAATTCTGGAAAGATGTCATTAGCAGGTTTAGGGATAATAGCAGATTAAACTTGATGGCGATATACTCATTTGTTAGGTTTGACATCATGAAAGAAATGTATGAAAACCTAACAGATGAAGACATCATAAAAGACTGTGGTAAAAAGTTAAACCGAGATGGAAAGTTTAATGCAATGATTATTAACCACTATATCTTATCAGGAGCGATACGGAAACTAAACAAAGAAGACAGTCTAGTAGATGGACAGATGCGAATTATTGAATTCTGGTGGGATGGAATAGGTGGATGGAAAGCGTGAGTGATTTAGTTTAATGATATTATTCAATTATAATATGATTAAACCTAGTTTTTATAATCTAACAACAAGGTTAAGACATTTAAATTAAACCTGAAACCCAGACCAGCCGACCAGCAACCCCTAGCCAAAACTACTTAAAGAGAAAAAACCTTATATATAAAGAGAAAAATGAGTGAGGGTAAAATGTCAGAGAATAATTTTATAGTTGAGAATTGGACTAGCTTACCTGAGGGTTTAGTTTCAATCATCACTACTTACATTAATGGTTGTGAAGGGTGGCGAAGACTGAAACAATGTGATGCTTTAAGAGAATTACAGAGGAAATGGAAACCGTCTATATACATTGAGCAAGTAGGAGAAAGTAAATATTATGTTGAGATTCGCAATAAATGTTTAAAAGGTGATAAAGCGCTTTCATATGCGTTGAAACCACCAAAATAATTATTAAGAATGATGAAGTATGATGAAGAAATACAGGTTGGAATAGAAGTTAGTTCAAAAATTATGTATAATAATAATATTTGCAACAGTCGTTCTTATTCATCATCTAAACAGAATAAGATTTCAAGTAGAGCGTCATTACAATACCATATTGAACAAGCAGTTGAAGAAACCAAACAGACTATGAAACGAGACGAAATCATTACTATAGAACATATTACATTTGAAATTTATACATAACAGAAACAATGATTTCATGGCTTAATCATAATATTTAATTATAATATGATTAAACATTGTTTTATAATCTAACAAGAAGGTTAAGACATTTAAATTAAACCTGAAACCCAGACCAGCCGACCAGCAACCCCCTAGCCAAAACTACTTAAAGAAATATTACCTTATATATTAAGAGAAAAATGAACGGTGATGGAATCAATAATTATATCGATAAAAAATGCTATGATTGTTGTCACTTCAAAAAAGAAAATATGGAATTGTTTAAATTGAGTTTACCTAATGAAATAGTGAATAATATTATTAATTATTCAATGGATGGTGAAGAAGACGAATGTGAAAATTGTAAAACTTGGAGAGATAATCAATTTTTAATCAAATGTCTGTTGGAAATAAAAAGAATAAATAATAGAAATGTAGAAGATGATATTTTAATATTTCTAACTGTAAATAAAATACCACCTTACGACTGTGTTAAACAGTTTCTTAAAATCAGTAAGAAAAAATATGAAATGATTTACGATATATTATGGATGTTGGGTTATAGTCAAGAGAAAGGAGAAGATGTTAAAGAAAATATCAAATTATTTATTGAAAGTAAAAAGTTTAATGTTCAGAATACAGTGAGAGATGTTAATATTATTTTTAAAATGATGTATGAAAGAAGTAAGACAAATCAATTAAATTATTATCCTGAACTGAAATTATAATCATAATATAATTATAACATGTAAAATCTTATATGTTATAATTATACTGAACTGTTAACCTATAAATGAAAATTAGTGAGAAAAACACTAACAAAACAAATACACCACCAACACCTCAGAACTTGATAACTACTAAAAGGGTTAACTCTTTCAAATGAAAAAAATGTCGGCCCCCAGAAAATCCACCCCTAACACCCTACAACAAAATATAGGATGAAATCAAACAAGGGTGTTAAAACGTTGGATAACAACATTTGACCCAATAACCCCTACACTCCTCCCTCTTCCCCCCAGCCCCCCTACTTTCTCCATTTTTTGGGGGGCCGGTGAGGGGGGGGGGGGGCTTTCCATGCTAATCTGCAGCGGGCTCATATCCCATGCTGTCCCACCATAGCTCATTGCCTGACAGGATCTCCCCGCGCAAGGCGTCAAGCTCCTGGTGCCAAGTTGGGAGTGGATGCCTAGTGCAAGAAGTTGTAGTCCTTGGTTGCTGTTGACTCGTTCCCCCCCGCAAAAAGTTTTCAACTTTTTGGGGTTTAGTGGAAAACACCTTTATTTCCTAAAAAGTTAAAGTCTAAAGATCCAACCCAATAGCAGTCAAGTAGTTGACATGTGGCTGTGTGCCAAAAATAGGGTAGCCCCACATGGACTAAAACCTGCGGTCGCCAAGGTGGTTTAATTTTGACCCACGCCCATGTCTGTCCAAATCCATGACCAAAAGGAAATTGATGTCTGAACAAGCAACATATTTTTCAACGTCTTGAATTATATGCTGGCATTCTGGCAAGAAACGAAAAGGAGATCACAAAGAACCAGCATCACATTCTTCTCGTGGAAAATTGAAATGCTGGGACGTGAGCAGCTGCAGCGGTCCAACAGAAACCTCTGAGCAAGCTGCGAGCCTCAGGAACTTGTTGCAAACAGGCTCGGCAAATACGTAGATTCTTCCGCTGGGCGCTGGGAGCTTTTGTTTCTCCCCCCTTTCCGAGGCGCGGGGCATTGAAACACCTGGCTCTGGCCCGACAAGTCTGAACAAAAAGCACCCCCACAGCAATCATCCTCAACGCAAAGTGGAATGGCAGCAGGGAAGACTCGTCTATGAATGGCATGGAAATAATCACTCGCCCCAATCCTTGCATTGCCTGTCTGCTTCAGAGGCTGCCGCATCCACCGCGGCTTGGATCGCCGACTCCCGGCCCGTTGGCTTTGCCGAGGTCGAAGGCTCCGCCTGCCCGGGTTTTGGAGTCAGGCCGTGCAGTCGCGCGATCGGCGCAGGAAAGCTCACCCAAGGCATCGCTAGAGACTCACACGCTGCTGCATTCACGTTAGATTGCGAGGCCACCAGGGGCTGGGAGTGCATTTGGGGAAGGTTAGGATAGGTTGACGGTTGGTTTAAGGTTTTTAGGAATGATCTTGGAATTGGCTTGGGTTCAGGGTGGAAAAAATCGGGGGTCATGCCATGTCTCATTCCCTGCATCTCTCGCACCGGTCGCAAGTTCTTCCATGGGGTTCTAGCCTTCCAACCATGGGACAATTGGAACTCTTTTCGGCTTCCAAGAGTGACAAAAGAACCCATACTCCAACAACCCATTTTCTTGCCGGTGCTCAGTGGGGAATGAGTTGGAATGACTGCTATAAGCCATCCCATATGGTTTCCTTTAGTTTTGCTACTTCCACTTGCTTAAGCCTCCTGAAAAATAAGAATATTTCCAGTTGTGATAGATTCCCTTTAAAACCAAGAGATGAAAAAAACATCTTAAGCAAATGAAAGCAAATTAAGGGAATCCCCAGGTTCATTCACTCATTCCCTGCATATGGCACCAGCATGTCATGGACCTTCCGCCTTCCGACTCCATCCGCCTCGCCCGCCAGCTCGCTCTTCAGCTCCGCGGCCGCCGCCCGCGCGGCCTTGGCCGCCGCCGCGCGCACCCGGCACTGCGCCTGGTGGGTGGGCGGGCGGCCCGTGGCGAAGCCAATGGGTGGAGCTCGCTCATTGGGGGCTCTCAACATTTCCCCTTAAACAATGTGCTTCCTTCACATCATGCCCAACTTGTCGTTCATGTCATATGAAATAGACCACGCGCCGTTGTCTGCCAAGCACCATCACCTTCAAGGGATACTCACCTTTCATGGGCCACAAAGGTGATGTTTAAAACCACCACAAGGGGAAGATAGGGACCCCTGTCATTCGGAAACCAAACCAAGATGGGGGTGTCCCAGAATGGGAAGAGCCCGAAAAAACAAATGTGGGTTTCCTTCAAGTCAACCGACCGCGGGTCCCCCAATTTTGGAACCCCTGCGCTTCTTGCGTGCCTCCTGCAGCAAGAGCCGATCCGCCTGCGAGTACGCAGCCTGTGCCAAGACACGGAACGCAGCTGCCAGAAAAAAACCACGGAACCTGTTCCTGTCCTTTTGCAAATCGGTGTCTTCTATGAGGACAATCTTGGATTGTGAAAGAAAGGAACAATCACACCCGGAAATTGCCTGTTTTGGGATAAGTCCAAATAGCCCCACCCCTGTGCGACAGTCTGCATGAGTCAAAAGATACTCGCTGAGTGACAGTGTTACCCAACCAGTTGCGCCAATCTGGTGCCATCTTCGGGCAGGAGGGCTTAACGTTTGCAGCTTGTCAAACAATAGTTCCGACAGTGAGCACGTCTGCACACCAGCCGTGACTCCCTCCAACCTCTGCTGCAAGGCTTTTCGCCAAACAGCCGGGAACTCCGGATCGGGCAAACGTGCAAATGCATTTAGGTCTCGCCAATGCAAGCACATACTGCTTCGTGTGGTGGTTCTGAAGCGGAAAAGACAAGTTCCTTTTCCTGTGGGACCCGGGTCCAATCCAACAGCCCATCTTAGACTAATTCCGCCCTTCTGAGCTTGGAGTTGTCATAGCCATGCCACAACTGGGAAGTGAACCGAATGGTGAACGGATCAAATCAGAGTTTAACTACAGTAAACTGAGCGACTGACGATGGCATTCGTCCAAGATTAATTTGGAAGGAGACCTACGATCCAAGTTTCAAAGGGTTGGAAACAGGAAATTCTACCGGAAAACAGCTCAAATTTCGGCTTTTGGGGCCATTTCCGATCTTGATTTTCCTGTATCTGTGAAAGCTGTCCACAAGTGCCACGGGGAAAAAAATCTGTTCCACCGCTCTGTCTCGGACCTCCATGGCCAGCGCACGGCAAACATTCAGAAAGCCGCAGGAGGCAGCGCAAAGGAGCCTTCGCAGCCCGGACCCGACGGCGACATCATGGCGACATCTTGGGGGCCTGCGAGGGATGAGCTTTGGCCTGGGAGAATGGTCCCAGGCTCTATGCTGTGAGCCAAGGGGGAGAAAAAAAAAGGAGGCTGGGAAGCTTTGCTATTTGTGGGTGGAAGAGTCCCTCCTGCACAGCTTGAAGACTGACTGACCGGACACCTTCGATTGAAAGCTTCGCTCTTGCCGAGTCGGGGCGAGCCATCCAGCCTCTGGGAGTGCTCACTTTCGTCGCACGCCTCGGCCATTTTTTGGGAGCCCTTTCGAACCACGAGATAAAATGATTAGGATGGCTCCAACTGGAAATCGAAGTGCCTCTCCGTATTGGGCAGTGGGCTCTGCATTCAGCTCAGCCACCCATCTTGCCAAAATTCAGCACTGCCCACAGATTTTGAACGCGTGGCTCGAGCAATTGGACCCTCTGAAAAGGCTCCAAGGCCCCAGTGGTCATTGATTCAAATAAACCACGAGCGTAAGCCACCTACTCACCTGTGGGGTTGGACATCCAAGAAGGCATCCGGATATGGGTTGGGCCACCCCTCCTTTCACAATTACGGTAACATGTTGAGGTCCCTATGGTTGGTCTTCTTCTAAAACCGGGGGCTGGTTGTTTCTACGAAATCTTTCAAACCCGCTTTATGACCATGGTGAGGAAGCAAGCGCATGCCTTCAATCCGCGTCAGTCAAGTTGGTTTACAACAGTTTGTGGGAACTGAACCCTGGTTCTTGCAAGTTTCAACTCGCTAGGCAGGATCAAAGGCAAAGGCTTCTCGGCGTAGACCGTCCATTCCATGCAAGCTACCCCCCACCAACTAACATGGAAGTACAAAAAGGCCCTTTCCAAGAGGAAAGTCGTCTTTCTACAGTGGTCTGTGCACTTCCATGTTGGCTGGTGGGAGGGTAAATATTAAATCATGGTCACAAAGGAACTCAACCCAGTCCTGAGGCGGGCAGCATTCCGCACCAGTTGGCCGTGGTCAACCCCAGCATTCACAGGGCTTTATCCCACTTGGTACCTGCGTAGATGGTGTCCATGTATGAGTATGTGTCAAACTGCAGGTCCTCAAAATGGGGAATAGTGATTTGAGTTTGGGGGACCCTCAAATTGGACGTTGATGTTCCTTTTGGTTCCCCTCAAAGCCACCCCAAAAAAGAACACCCTCAAAAACAACCCCTTCTTAAACGAAGAATTCCGAGCTCGGCATTCCGAGAACGATCCAGTTCAGCGCTTCTGAAATATCAAAGCATCATAATATTCATATACGATGTATATATAGACATATTCTACATGAACATGTTTATATACATATACATATATATATACACATGTATATGCATGTATAACCAAGCTAAGTCCTCCGGTCAAAAATGGGCACGATCCTAAAGGGGGGACCTAGTAAACATGGTCATGTTCTACATGAATATACCGATATCTATATACACATATACGTATACACATATAGTTCTATATACAAATATAAATGCACACATATATATATATATATATATATATATACGCATATACATATACAAATATATATATATATATATATATTTGTATACCTATACTATAAGCACACAGGCACACACAGCCAGGCGTTGCAGGCCCTGGGCTTCCGGGCCAACAAGGCGCAGTGCTGCAGCAGCTCGCAGGCGCCGCCGGGCAGCGGCGCCGTGGCCGCCTGGGCGGCCGTGGCGGCCAGGAAGGCCGGGGCCACCACAGGCTCCAGGAGGGGCTGCAGCAGCCACTCCTCCTGTCTTTGAAGGGGTTGAGGTGCTGGACACGCTCAGTGGAAAAAACATGATAAATGTATATCCAGGGGTCTAGGTGAAATCCCGAGGGCTTTGAACCGAGTTTGGGATCAAGTGGCATTGGATACATCATTCAGGAGGTCTGGGCAAAATTGGATTAATCAGAGTTTGTCGTGGTAAAATTTGGAGTTTAAAATCGGATGCCCTCCCTCAGAGATGTCCAAAAAAGGCATTGGATGAATCAAGGGGCTTAGGCAGAGTTTCCACAAGAACTCACTTCCTGAGTGGGTTGCCCAACAAAGGTATTTGGAGGAAGGGGTTTAGGTTTTTGAAGCCTGCCAGACCTGATTCAAACAAGGGTAAATCAAGGGGGTTAGGTAAAATTGGACAACTCCTCCTGAGAGCTTCCCAAAACAGTTTAGGATCAAGCGGCATTGGATAAATCATCAAGAGGCCTAGGTAAAATTGGACAATCAAGGGGTTGAGGTGGAAGGGGATAAATCCCTAGGTCCAGGTAAAATTGGATACCCTCCCTACCATCATGGAAGCTGACAGGGTTTTGACATACTTCTTTTGGGGGATTCTAAAGTGCCACAGGGATACCTTGGAAGGAAACCAGCTACATTAGCAAAGGGAAGCTGACTGAACACAAGAGAGTGGGAGGCATCCTCGCGTCGACACTGCTGCATGACTTGAAATCACCGCCCTTCACCAACTGGTTCGACGTGTTCCAGCTGTTCATCCAACCTGTCAGTACCAGCAAGCAAAGGCTCTGAACTCGCGCTATCAGATTCGGTGTCCTTTTGGGAAAATCGATGGCACTGGTAAATGAGTAGAACCAATCTGCAACAAGTGCCATCTATTTTTCAAGCAAACTGACCTATTACTCAGTTGCCCAAAGGACCCAGAAACAAAAGGTTAACCTTTTGGGACCTTTACTAAAAATGGACCAAACATGGGAAACCAAAAGGTCAAAAGGTCGATTCGCTTTGGGCAACTGAGATTAGGCTAAGGACCTAAGGCCACCTATGCACACGCTGGACCCTCGGGAGCTTGCTGATTGTCCTGGAGTACCGCCACAGCGCTGAGCACGCCGCGCACCGCCAGTGACACCTTGCGCTCGTCAGGGTTCGGGGTCTTTGAGGGCTTAGCACCTGTCTTCGTTCAGAGCTGCGACCCTGACAATGGCCTGAAAAAGAAACGCTTTAAGATCTTTAAGCAAAACGGCGGGGCATGGCCAAAACACATATTCGGGCACGTCGCGCGAAGGCAGATGCTTGGAATCATCTTTGCCGAATGTCAAGAAGAAGTGGATCTGCTTGTGTAACTTTCTTGCCTTGGGTTTGGGGGATTTGGGCATGAATGTTTTCTGAACATGTATGCCAAATGAGCATGCGGTGGGTGTCCGCCTTTCGCGCAACACGTGCCCCAAACACGGAACCACCGCATACTGCCCCTCCTGGACAAAGTAAGGACCGCAACTGTGTCAACATGATTCTGCAGTCCTGCGGAAACCGGCGAGAAACCATGCGAAAACGTGAGCAAGTCTCCCAATTGGGTTGCTCAATATGGGGAGGTCCCCCCCCCCCATACCAGCCCGTTGGCAACTCCCACCTTGAGAAGGTGGCTGCACTTGTTCATCACCGCCATCAAGTCCAACCTTACAGACTTACAACTTTGGCCTTGTTGCAAGGAAGGCCAAAACACCACAATGACAATAAGACCTCATAAGATCAACAAAAAATATCAACATTTCTCAGCTGATCTTTTGAAGGAAGAGAAGACCCAACATCATTTGAATGAAGCTCGTGCTGGACCTGTCTCTAAAATAGAGGCATCTTGAATATGGATGCTGAGCCCCAAACACGACACATGTCGCTCTTTTCTTGGTTGACGTTTTATTTTTTAGCAGTTAAGTGGGGATTTCCCACTAAACCACAAGAAGCAAAAAATGCCAAATGTTTCCCATGTGGCCATGGGTCAAAATCCCGTACCCCCAGTGAACATCCCAATCCCCAATAAAATCGGTTCTAAATAGGCGGTGAATTCACCTACCAACCAAAATGGGATCCCAAAACGGTGTTGACAACCACAGCCATGTCTTGCGGCTCAGCCACACGGAGCCCGCAGCCGTGAGCTTGGCGAACGCCACGCCCTCGTCGGATTCGCCCGCGTCGCTTAGGAGCTGATCCGCGGTGGCCAGCGCCAGCTGCGAAATTGCGCAGCGCGGCGTCGGCAGCTCCGCCAGGAGCGCCTGAAGCGTCCGCCTGAGTCCATGGATGGATGGACGTGGGTGGGTTGGGTGGGATGGATGCATGGGTGGATGGAACCTGTGAAACGAGGAGGTTCTGAAAAAGACCTTGTGGACAGGTGCGACTTTTTGGGGGAAGCCCAGGAAGGTGTTACAAAGACGTTGTGGACAGGTGCAATTTTCGGGGGATTGTGCCATATGGGTGTGGGTGAAAAATAAGGCAACCCCAAAATGGGTTGCCCCGGTAAACTGGGTTCAAAGACTAAAACCCGCGGTCCCCTGGTGGGTAATTTTAACCCATACCCATTATAGCCCAGGAAGGTGTCACAAAGACGTTGTGGACAGGTGCGACTTTGGGGGGAGTGTGCAAACAACTTGTCTAAGCTTTCTGGTTCAAAACATGCAACGCAAGCAGACGCCTCAAAAACAAACCTCTGCGCAAATGCAAATTTGCGTGCCCTTTTGCCGGCCCAGTGGCCGGCATGCTCGGACGTCAATGCTGGCAAAATCCTTGGCTGAACTTAGTTGTGTTGCATGGACATTCTGTCTTTTGCATCCTGGGCCAAGCTAAAATTGACTTTTCAAACCCTCTGTGCACCTGCGCTTGCTGGCTGCCGAATTTGAGATATGCAATGCCCATGCATAAATATGTCAAAGGATTTGCAGGTGTTATTGTATTTCCGGGTCCTTCATGCCACGACTGCCTTGTGTTCGCTCAGGACCCCCCTCAAATTCGTCTCAGCCGGGCCGCCCCCGAAACCGCCAAGACGTCATGCCGCCGCGCCGGCTCCTGGAAGAGCCGGGAAACCAAAGACTCCAAGACCGGGCCTCCGGCCCCCTTGTCAGCTACCCTGACTTATCATGGGGCCAAACTGGCAAGAATTGGCAAAGCGAAAAGTCAGGGAACGACTGGGTCTTCGAAGGGTGCGTCAGTGTCCCTTGAAATCACTTTTGCTCGCTGTTCGGTGCCCTCGGCTTGCAACTGGGGAAAGATGCTGGCACTCCAACACGACGCGCAAGTCAAGGCCTCCGTTGGCAAACCGCCATCGCATCCTCAAGGCAAACATGTGCTTTTGGCCCGGCGTAAAGTGTTTAACGGCACCTCTGACCAGCTTGCCTTGCCAGGTCGAGAAATGCGGACGAAAAGGTCCTTGACTTCTTCCAAAGGCTGCTTCTGCTCAGCTTGCTTTCGCTCGAGCGGCGTCCGCTCAGGCTGCTTCTGCTCAGGGTGCTTTCGCTCGGGCGGCGTCCGCTCAGGCTGCTTCTGCTCAGGGTGCTTTCGCTCGGGCGGCGTCCGCTCAGGCTGCGTCTGCTCAGGTTGCTTTCGCTCGGGCGGCGTCCGCTCAGGCTGCTTCTGCTCAGGTTGCTTTCGCTCGGGCGGCGTCCGCTCAGGCTGCGTCTGCTCAGGCTGTGTCTGCTCAGCTTGCTTTCGCTCAGGCTGCGCCTTTGTCTCAATAAACTCTTTGGCCCGCGACCTCAGGAGCAGCATGAGTTCAAAGGAAAGGGATGCCAGGCTCAAGAGAGAGGGTGTTGAGGCATTCTAAAAGGGGGATGCCCGCTTTCCCGGGCGTGGAAAGAAAATGCAAGCAACCAATGACATTCGCACGCATATAGGACGTCTATCAATATGCGAGCACCTCTGATTGCACGTTGAAGGGGGGAAGCACGCATATTGCAAAGGAGGGGGCATTCCGGTCATTGCACTTGACTTCTCGGAATCTTCGGCGTGGCAAATCACCAACAACTTCACCTGCCAGGAGGGAAACATAATCAAATGGAAGACCACTGCATTGTTCATAATGATCTAAGAACCTCAGGGGCCACTAGGCAGCTCTGTGTGCGTGTGTGCCCCCGTCCGTGCGTGATCCATACGCGTGCGTGAAGAACGCATGTCGACCGAACAGCAATACCTGAGACTGCCATCTGCCTTAAGGCTCAAACCCACTAAGAGGGACCGACCTCAACCCAACCATTATTTTACTGGTGGTTTGAACCCCAGGGATCTGTTGACACTTCGCACACAACAACAAACAAACAAAAAGCAAAAACATCGGGCCATCCGCGCTACGCATCTCCGGGCTCCCCTGGCAAAGAGGTGAAGCGGCGGCCGCAAGGGGTGAAGAAGACCTTGTAGCGCCGGCCTGGCCAGGCTCGAGCCGATAACCAAGCTTCTGGCAAACAAGGAACCAGGCTGGAAGAAGAGGACTCCCAGCAAAAAACATATCTTCTTTGCCCGGTTAGTGGAAAACAAAGGGAGCCCCCCCGCCAAAAAAAAAGAAGGGGGAGCTAATTCTGGGGAAGGGAAAAGCCAGCAAGCCTAGATGTTCCCACAGTTAGCTGTGGCCCAAAAAATGGTACCCAACATGGCCCCTTGGCAAATGGAAACAAAGACCAATACAATCGTAACTCTGACTCTTTTATCTTGGGCCACACCCACAAAGGATCAGGAATAAAAGGTTAACGTCTTGGGGCCACGATTAAAGATGTGCCAAAATTGGTTTCCCGGCTTTGACTGAGAAAGCCAGCAAGTTGAGAGGTTCCCCCATTTGGCGACAAACCCTCAGAGCAAGTTCCAGTTACCAAGCTCCACACGGACATTCAGATGATTCCCATTCATTGGCTGTGTTCGCCAAACAACCCTAGCTAGAAACGCGAACTCTTCCTTCTGCCCATCGCGGAAAGGGATGAAGCCATTGCGGTGCCGAATGAAAAACCTGTTCTGAAAATCGAGCTCCACCATACTTTGCTCTGGAGAAGGGCTAAAAGCATCGATCTAAAAAACCGCAGAACGTCCAAGGTGTGTTTTCCCCCCTGCCCCGCTTCACCCCGCTTCCTCTGGCTGGCCCCCCCCCCCCCCCCCGAAGTGCCCACGACCCCAAAACTCACTCCGAAGTCGGAGCCTGTGGAGGTGACGTGAAGTTTGCTGGACCATCCGTCAGGAAGCCCTTGGGCATCGAATTCGTGGCTCTCCGGCTCGGTGTTCGTGCCGTCCGCCCCCAGCTTCTCCTCCCAGGGGGCAGGAGGAGGAAAGGGCGCAAACAATCCATCTGGCACTAAATCACTACGCAAAAGAGCAAGACAGAAAAATAAGCTTGAGCTTTTCTGCGCTTCCGCCTCCGCTCTGGAGGCCGGCACTTCCGGCTCGCGCGTTGGCCGCTTCGGCGAAGCGAAGGCGGCCACGGCGCGCCCAGCGGCGCTCGCGCGCGGCGACGCGGGCGATGCCGGCGGGGTGTCGCCCGGCCCGGGCTCCAGGCATCTGGTGGGGCGCAGCCGCCGCCGCGGCTTGAGCACGGCAGGGGGCGTACCTTTCCAAAAAAGAAAATGGGAGAAACATGTCCGACGACTGCAATCTGAAACCCACAGGCAAGCTCTGGCCGCTAGCCACCACGGCTTTCAGAGGAACATGTCCAGGAAGTTTGGCGAATTGGATGGGTCCGGCGGAAATTGCAAAGCTCCATCATGCTCCGTTCGATCAAAGTTAGGGCGACCTAACAAATCGCTGATTGCGACTGACTCCGTCACACTGACCAACTCCCCGCTCTCCGCCTGGGCTGTGGCGCTCCGGCTGCACTGCAGGTCCCGCCGCTGCCTGCCCCCGTGAGCTATTGATGGCAGCGCTGGGTGGGTGTGTTCTTAACACACTCAGCCAAGAAGTTGGACGATCTAAAGGCAAAGCTGTCGCATGCAAGGCGTGCCTCTGTTTGTTCACCTAGGGGAGGAGATGACAGTGCTCATGAGTGAATCGGCTAGCACAATGGTCCTTGTGCATGAGGGACTTCCCTCAAACATGCATCAAAACTCGTGACACCGCTTTGCATGAAGCACCGTACTCGCACGCGGGCGGCTTTGTGATATTCACGCATATCTTAGCGTAGTGGCTTCTTAGAATACGCATCATTTTCTACTGGATTGCCATGTGCGATTTCTGGCCCTCAGGATGTCCAGCCGGCTATGCCATGCTGCATTGCGGCTTGGACATCCTAAGCTCCTAGCCAGGACGGTTTCCGCCAAGGCACGAGCCCATCGAATCTTCAAACCACGTGGAGTCCACAGGGGGGTAACCAACTTTTCGTGTCATTCTCGAGCTGCAGCACCATGCGACACACAAACAGCTGGCCAGGCAGAATGTTCGAAATGGAGTTGACGAGTGAAATTCATAGACTTGCAATGACCACATCTATCAAGAAATTCTGCTGCCCCGCCTCTTCCGCCGGAGCAACTTGTGCTGTCTTGGCCGGCTCAGACCTCAAACTGGCGGCCAGCTGCGACCCGGAGCTGAACTAGATGTCCCCAATCGCCCAGGTGGGAAACTCAATCAAATTTGGTCCAAAGGCGGAAGGCTTGAAACCAGCTTCAGGTGCTCCCGCTTGAAAAGCTGCACAATACAAACTCGCAACCACGTCATGGCTCCCCAGTGCAAATGATGCCAGTCTCCCAGCAGAATCCTTGCCAGGGATCCTTACATTTTACTCCTGAACATTTCCTTGTCAATGGTGGTTTTCCCTTGTTTTGGTGAAAAACCATGTCTCAAATGGTATCTTTTGAGGAGCCCTCCTTGCAAATCGGGATTTGTATCTAATCCACGAGCTCTAGACCACAAACATCAGGCGCCAAGCAGGCAAGCGGCACCGGTGCACCCCGCTTGCGAGCTTTTCCTCAGCACTCCCCAGGCCTTGAGACCCCCGGGCAGCTGGCAACTCTCACGCGTTGCGTTTCTTTGGCATGCTCCTCTTGCGTAAGGCGAGCGTCTTGCTTCGAAGTCCGCCTTGGCCGCCTTCATGGACTCCTCGAAGGACTGCATCACGTTCGCCAACTCCATGTCCTCGGATGGCTCATGAACCCTGTGATCCAAGGCGTCGGCATCCACAAATGCGCTGCGAGTTGCTTCCAAGTACGTTCAAGTACAGCGCCAAACCCACTATAAGCGTTCGTCCCTCCACACTTCTCCGCAAGAAAGCGGTTTCCGCGAGATCCAAGGCCGAGGCTCGGGCCAACCAGAGTTGAGCGAAGCCAGGGCTTGGCGATCCAGCCCGTGCGCGGTTTGACTGAAGTGAAGGCCGACACAAAAAATAATAATCAGGGCTTGTGCACATCTGCCTTCGAAATTTTACCCCTGGCCACATAGGTCCGTGGGCCCATGCCCACATCAAAGCCTCTTTCCGGTCGATGCTTTGAGCCAGGGCGGCAAAGGGAACCAAAGCGCTTCTGTCTCTCACTCCCCAGGGCCTTGGCACCCCAAATCCGCGATTCCTAGCTGCAACTCCCCCGCCTTTGCTGGGACAATGCATGGACATGCCTTGCGCAACTCAAACTTGCACTTCAGCCCAGTCCAAAACATGAGGTTGCATCCATCCTCTGAACTGCCAACCTAGGAAGTGAGAGCATGTGGGATCAATCAGGAAGGAGGCTTCATAACACCCAGGCTGTGGCACGTAGCACGGCCGGTCTTTTTCTGAGCTGATGCCTGTACAAGGAGCTGGCCCCTAAAGAGGCCCCCGAGATCCCCGACATCTCTGGCACTCTGAGCCTGCTGCGTCCCCCGTTTTCAGGGGGCCGGCTTAAGGCGAAGGCAAATCCGGTGGCTTGGACTCGGAGGGGGCAAGGGAGTGAACTAACGGCATCACGGCGCTTGACATGCTCCCGGGTCATCCTGACAACAGAACGAGAAGTCAAGAGTAAATACGTCAACCAACCAACCAACCAACCAGCCAACCCACCAACCAAGCCACCAACCAACCAACCAACCAACCAACCAACCAACCAACCAACCAACCAACCAACCAACCAACCAACCAGCCAACCCAACCAAGCCACCATCCCACCAACCAGCCCGCCAGTTGATGAAATACATAAACAAGTAAACAATGGATTCATCAATCAAGGCAAGCAAGAAGACAAGCAATCAATGAATCAAATCAACCAAACAAACAGGCAGTAATCAAACAAACAAAACACAAACAAACAAGCCGACCAACCAACCAACCAACCAACCAACCAACCAACCGACCAACCGACCGACCTACCAACCGACCGACCAACCAACCAACCAACCAACCAACCAACCAACCAACCCACAGACACACACACGCAGACACACACACACAGACACACACAGACACACACAGACACACACAGAGACACAGACACACAGACACACAGACACGCAGAGACGAAGAGACGCAGAGACGCAGAGACACAGACACACAGGCACACAGACACACAGGCACACAGAGACACAGAGACACAGAGACGCAGAGACGCAGAGACGCAGAGACGCAGAGACAGAGACACAGAGACACAGAGACACAAAGACACAGAGACACAGAGACGCAGAGACACAGAGACACAGAGACACAGAGAGACAGAGACACAGAGACACAGAGACACAGACGCACAGACGCACAGACACACAGACGCACAGACGCACAGCAGACGCACACACGCACACACACACACACACAAACACCACACACACACAAACAAACACAGCATAATCCAACACCACGGATAGTGGAGCACGCAGATTGCCGAGCCACACCGTTTGTCAACATGCCTCGTTCCAAAAGAAAGTGGCCGAAACGCGCCCTTATGCGGAACACGTTCACGAGCGTGTGTCACCCACAACCGACTGCTGCTGAGCGTCCATATGTGGCGGCTTTCGCGTCCGCCAAGTCACGATAGACCTCACCATCGCCAGTTCTCTCTGGCTCTCTCTCTCTCGGCTTAGCTGGTTGATCTCATAAGGCCCCTAGATCTGTGGAAAGGTTTCTTCAGCAAGCACACGCATAGTCACGGAACACCTCGACGCCCACGCACTGCAACACGCCACAGAAAGCACGCCCAAAAGCAGTACCAGGAATAGGAGCCATAGCAGCCGCAGCAGCTGAAGCAAAAGTAGCAATCACAATGGAAATGGTAGCAGCTGCGGTGGCAGAAAGAGTCGCAGCAGAAACAGCAGCAGCAACAGCAATATACAAGTTACGCTAGAGGAAGTGGCAGTGCGGCGGCGGTGTTGGTAGTGGTCGTAGTCACGGTCTTGGTCTTAGTCTTGGCCGTGGCAGCGGCAGCAGTAGCAGGAGCAGTAGCAGGAGCAGCAGCAGCAGCGTCAGCGGTGCTAGCAGTAGTCGTAGTATTGTAGTAGTAGTAGTAGTAGCAGTAGTAATAGTACTAGAAATAGTACTAGTAGTAGTAGTCCTAGTAGTAGTAGTACTAGTAGTAGTTGTTGTTGTAGTAGCAGTCTTGCTGGTAGTGGTAGTAGTAGTAGCAGTCTTAAGTCTTGCTGGTAGCAGTACTAGTAGTAGTAGTAGTAGTAGTAGTAGTAGTAGTAGTAGTAGTAGTAGTAGTAGTAGTAGTAGTAGTAGTAATAGTAGTAGTGGTAGTAGTAGTAGTAGTAGAAGTGGTAGTAGCAGTAGTAGTTGTAGTAATAGTTGTAGTAGTAGTAGTAGTAGTAGTAGTAGTAGTAGTAGTAGTAGTAGTAGTAGTAGTAGTAGTGCAACACCGAGTGCTGGAGAGTGCGAAATCCCTGCTATGGATTATGGGGATGGAATAAAGCTTTATAAAGGGTATGGATCTGTATGGGTCGAATGGATCATGTACCGAACCGGCCCTTGATCCATACCTGAATGTTTGGGGCGCAGCCATGTTGATTGATGCTCTCGGAAGAAAGCAAGACTGTCTGGGCCTTTCATTTCAATGCAAGAAGTACCAAGGCAGCTCTTCTTCCCCCAATGCCTGCCCACACAGGCAATCCGAAGCTCCTCGTATGACTAAGGGAGCTTTCATGCAGGTGTGGTAGTAGAATTGGACTTCGCCGGCTGAGAGATTCCCTTTTCAATGATCAACACATTCTGGCCATTCTCTCATCACGATGTGACGCTGGCCAACATCAATCACATCAGCCAATGCAGGCCCCACAGGTTAGCAGTTTGCTTGCCGAGCAGCAGACAGTTTCCCCTCTGCTACTGACCAAAACTCCGTAGCGACCTGAGAGAGGAAGTACTGGTCATGGCTGACCTCGGACATTCAGCCGAAAAACAAAACACCAAGTGGGCAAGCTGGCACCCCCCCCCCCCCCCAATGCCTTCCCCAAAATTTGCATTTAAGCAAGGCAGAAGTCATCAAAACGTACCTCACAATTGCCTCAAGTTCATCAAGAGCGTTCCACGTGCCGCGAAACCCCTCGCAACATGACGGCCGGCACGCGGACTGGCGAGCTGAGCCATAATCAAAACCTGGCACCGAAGCAGTCTACCCCAACATCAATTGACTATCAACAACGGCGGCCGCACATACATGTTGGAAACATTAATGGTTAGGACTGCACTTAACCACCCTTTGTCTGTCCAACAAAGCCTTGGTTGCGCGTCTGAAGGTCATCTTGCAGGCATGGGTCCATTACCACCGCTCCCTTGAAGTCCTTAATGGCATCGATCAGGGCGTCGATCGTTTCCATGTCCAGGTGATTGGTTGGCTCGTCGAGGTAGATCAAATGCGGTCTTGGCACAGGCACCGGCAGTCCATGACTTGCACATCTTACCACGCAACTGGTGCCTTCCCAACCTGCGTCATGGTTGTCGTCTGGCCGCGTGAATCAAAGCATCAGTGAATCGGCATCTGACATAGTTGCATGCTGTGTAGGGTTCTCCATATATGCCTCCCCCGCCCCCTTGCCCTGCCACAGTCCGTTCCCTGTCAACGTGAAATCATCTCGCCAAGTGACTGTTTGTAGGTGACAATGGCCAAAGCGACACGGCTTTTCTGTCCACCCGAGAGCGTCTTGATCTTTCTCAGGGCCATGTCTCCTGTGGCGGGACTGACGCTGCCCAATTTGTAAGTCTGGCCTGATGAAATTTAGCGACGCTCGTCGGGCCAAGGACCCGTGCCGACCGACACAGCCGCTGAAGCAGACGCCAGGAAAGCGCAAACATCCTGTCTGTCTCTAAGCCCCCCCCCCCAAAAAAAAAAAACTCAAAGAAAATAGACCCACCCACCCACCCCAGACCCCCCCCAAAAAGAAACAAAAAGCAAAGAAAAAAGTCAGACCCCAGACCCGCCAATCCATCCAGCCCAAGAGCTACAGGTGCTAGAAAGCTGGGCACTGGAAAGGAGAAAATACATCTGGACCAAAGGACTCGCCTTGGTATGTTGCGACTCAAACGGGTCAAACCTGGAAGGTGGAGAACAGTTAGCACTTGTTTCTGTTTGCTTGGCACGTTGTCCCGCGGCCTCAATGCAAACGTTTCGAGGATCGAAGGTCTGCAAGCTCTGTGTACCCACTTCGAGCTAGCGAAGGTCCGACTTCTGAGCTCCCAGCCGCTCACGCCAAAGCGGCCGAGGACGCTCCGCGCCTGCTTGGAAAACCGGGACCAGCTGGGATTCCCGTGCCCCTGGCTTGGTCGTTCTTCAAGAATAGGGGGAACCCTGAATGGAAACAAGGACGAACATCTGTCCAAGTCCTGGTGATACAACTTTGGACTTATGGGCTGCTGGCGAAGGTGGACTCCCATGCCTGCCCAATGGACTCCCTTGGGGCCCAACGGGCTACAACCATGCCCCAGCTTTGCAGTGAACCAGTGGTGCCTACCCCACACCAGGCGTGACACGCATGAACTTTCAAGATTGAGGACCGTGCTGCCAATTTGGGTATGGGTCAAAACCCCGTACCCCCGGTGAACATCAACCAATCCCCACTATAGGTTCTAAAATGGGTGGTGAATTCACCGAACTGCCCAAAATGGGATGCCATTGGTGTTGACCCACAGCCATTTCTGGAGAAGGAAGGGAGCGTGTGGACATGGCAACGCGCTGAGTTAAGGCTTTTGTTCAAGGACTTCCGGGCGAAGAAGCCGCAGCTTGCTTCATTTGATCAGACCTGCCGCCTGCCTTGAGCTCAGTCACAACGCTCAGGAAGCATCTCAGTTGATTTGATGCATGGCCACTTTGCGAGGAGCTAGTGCAGAATGCCACTCAGATGATGCCAAATGATGCGATCTATATATATATATATGTATCTTATGTATATATATATATATCGACTCAACCCACACAACCTACCCTTTTTCGATCCCACAGCGAGCGTGACCGCCTCCTGGTCGGTGAGGCCGGGAAAGGTGGCCTGCACACAGTCCACGCAGGTGGCCTCAGAGCTCAGGACTGTTCAGAAAATCGGGTTCGTTTGCCCAGAAAATGGGCAGGGTGGATTTCTTGGACATTTCTAGGGGTTGATTCCCCATTCTTTTCAACCATCGTTCTTTTCAAAAACCAGCTGTTTTTTTCAGGGTTTTGGGTGGTTTTGTAGAAAGAAGGATGCCTGGAAAGAATGATGCCTGCAAAGAATGGGGAAGGTACCCCTAGAACATTGATTTCTGACCATCAGTTTCAACATCAGTGCTAAACTTGCTCAGTCCCTTCGGCAAGGAAAGACTCAGGGTTTCAAATCTGAGAACTGAGGGAGGGGTGGCGCTTCTGTGCGCTGAGGCATGTAGGATTTCCTATTGCAGTCGCTGTAAAAATCCTGCTGCCCAAGACTTCAAGATGCCAAGACCGTAATAAAGCAATTTCCAAGATGAGTCTGTTTCGATGTCCTCCCGGCCCAGGGGCACCCAAAGTTTCTCTCCAACCTAGAACTTTGAGAATCGCACAACAAGCCCTAGGCAATATTAATCAACGAAGGCATCAAATGAAGTGCCCAATTTGATGATTACATCTCGGCCATCCTTAGTGTATTCGACGCGCTGGCCATATGCAGTTGTCACAGCTGATTCCGTCCACATTTTCAAATGTCAGTGTCAGTACGGACGTAGTTGACTCCTGCCTATACGGCACAAACATGCTAGCCCGCGCCCCAACCAAGCAAAATAGCATACATAGTCCGCAATGGCTAGCAAAATGAAAAACTTGGGCTAAACCAGCACCAAACAATCCCTAATCAAAGTGAGAGCAATAAACTAGCCGCAACCCAGCAAGAAAAAGCCAAGCATTCACCACGTGCCTCCCCTCTGGCGATTCCTATCGCTTTCCCTCAGTTTTCTTGGTCTTCATGTTTCTTGCTCTTCATATTGAGCTTGCTGACATCTTACTGAACTTACTGAACTTCTCTTCGGCCCACCTGCCCATCAGACCCTGGTAGACCATAAAAAACCGGACACCGCCGCACCGCAGCGCGGACTCTCGCGGACTCCCGGCGGTCCAGTGGTCCAGCCTCGAGGTCCAGGGAATCCACATGGTGCTGCGCGAAGGTACCTGCCGCTTTGTGAGTGGGCCTCCACCCCAAAACAAAAAAAGTCCGAGCCCTGCCACATAGATGGCCATGGGATGCCATGGGTCAAAAGCCAAATCGTCCCCACTGAAATGGACTAACATGGGTGCACCCACCCCAAATTGGTTCCATTGGTTTGCCACATAGATGGCCGTGGGGCATATCCTATGGCTCCATTTTGGGGCGGAGCATCCATTTGCCACCTATTTTGATGTTCACCAGGGGGAGGGTTTTGACCCACAGCCATATGACACCCAACACAACTGGCTTGATGCAGTGGTTATGCTCTCTGTTGAGGGTGTTGGAGTGGAAATGAGGCGTTCAGCCATCGATTCTGCTCCCTTTCTTAGGCCTTCAGAGATCATGGAGGGCGAGGGGCCAGTTCAAACAAAATCGTCCGAGCTTCGACTGTCAGCTTTATGATGTCAAGGCAGTAGTTCACCCAAGCATGGAATTTGTGAGTCTGGCGTTGCATTGGAATTTGCATGTTCCTTGGCTTTGCTCATCAGCAACGGCTGCGTCAGGCCTCCCTTGCTGAACCCGCAGGGCCGCAATCATAAGCAAATGGTTCCGCTGCACTGCGTTGCATTGCCAAACAAGTGCAACATGCAAACGATGAGCCACATGTGCAGCGCAAGTTCTGTCAGTGAAAGTTCTCCGCGACAGGAAAACTCTTTGGAAGCACCTTGTCAAGGGTGAGCTGACTTGTCCCCGGGGGCGATTGCATGCAAGGCTTCTCAAACAGAACGCCGAGACTTCTCAGAAGTTCGAAACAAAGAAGGCGGAGCAAATGGCAACAAACCACATTCCATCACAAGGCAGTCCTCTAACAAAAGTGCAAGGCAATTGTTGGTCAAGGACGCAAGCTGTGCACAACAAGACCAGGACAAGCTGCGTGCATCTGCCTTCGCAGTTTCATTGCAGGACATATCGCACCGGCCTACTCGTGCATTCCGGTTGATGTCAATCTGGCCAGCTGTCGGAATCAAGCTCTTCTGCATGACTTTCAGCAGCGTGCTCTTCCCAGCCTCAGGTGCCGTGGAAGTGGAAGTTCGGCGCCGTGAACATCGATTCACATGGATCCTGGATTTTGTTGATTCTTGGGCCCGGTAAAAGCGCTAGGCCGCTTCCCTGCAGTGCAAATGGAACACTTCGAAAGGCGGCACAAGCTCATTCCCTGGGCCATCACGGCCCCGCGAAATGCGAGGTCCCTGCGGGCCCCTTGCGGCCCCAAAAGAATACATGGCAGCCTCCCGGCGACGTTACCCCGACGTTACCCCAGAGTGGAATCTTTGCTTGATTCACCCCGAACATCGTTTTAGAGGAACCTCCGCGTTCTGCAACCATCCGCTTCCCCCTAATTGGCTTGGATTGGTGGTTTGGTGCGTCTACAGGCACCAGGCGTTCAAATCCCAAAGCACCAATCAAAACCACAAACTAAGGCTTATCAGAAATAAAGCGCCCCATCGGCAGGGGAGAAAAAACAAAACAACAAAACAGATCACGCCGCTTGAACGGCCGGCGCTGCTGGCGAAGGATTTGGGGCAAAGTGGCCCCATTGGCTCCCAGGATGCCGATGCGGCCTTTGATGTCCAAGTTGGCCGTGGCGTTCTGAAAGAGTGGCGCCTCCAGGCAAAGAGCCGCCAGGCGCGGGCGGCGAAGGGGGGGACATGTCCCAAGCTGGGTCACCAAGCAATATATGGGGCACACAGTTATTGCGTTGGCGGAGGGGAGAATAGTTTTGGCCTACATTGGGCAGGAGAGGAAAGCTTGCAGTTAACGCTTCTTCACATCAAGCTGTGGGCCCCAAATGTCATGAGGCGAGCTTCAGACGCGATGGCTCAACGACTCCCTGCCACACAGAAAGGAGGCGAGTGAGACAGAAGAATGGGCCCATAATATCGCCCCTTAGACCGTGTCTAAAGCCCGGCCTTGCCAGGATAGGCAAAAGCCAGACCATCAAACTGGATCAGCTCGCTCTTGGGAAGCGGCCCAGGATCTGGGAAGTGGATCGACAGGGAGGCGGAGTCATTGAAGGTGATGGCTGGATCCTCGATCTTCTCCATCTTGTCGAGCATCTTCTGCTTGCTCGCCTCCAATGATTACAAACTGCTACTTCGATAAGTGGGTGTGGCTCAAAATTAAAGCCTGTTTCCATTTACCAGGGCAAACCATTTTGGGTACCCATTTTTGACCCACAGCCAAGTGCCAGCAGAAAGAAAGCCTATATAAGAGTTGGGGGGCGACAACATGCTCTTGAGGCACTCGCCTTTTGCGCCACGATCTTGGGCCGCTCGTCGTGCTTGTTGATGAACTCCAAGATGTGTGAAATCTCCTTCTGCTGCGCATCGTATTGACGCTGTTGCGCAAGACGAGTCTCTTTCACTGTGTTCACGTATGTCTCGTAGTCCCCCTGGCTGCAACCAGCTCCGCACAACACAAAAAAAGGTCAGATAGCCCAGTCGCGCAGCTAGTGAACAACTTGCTTTCCCGTTGGCTTCAAGCCTTGAACTCAGCGCAATGCTCGTATTCTGGGGTTCTTGCCAGCACAGGCTACCAGGGACCCGACACCCCAAACAAATTTCACCCCCCAGTCGAGGAAGTGCAGGTGCTGGAGATACGCTTTCGGCGGAAGCCTTGTAGTATGTCAGCTTCTTGCCATTGAGCAGCACAACGTCAGTGCACACGTTGTTCAGAAAACCCCGGTCGTGCGAGACAATGAGGCAAATATTCTTGAACGTCCGCAAGTAGTCCTGCAAGTAGATCACCTGAGCGACATGAGGTTCGCGTAGGCCGAAAAGCAAGCCCACATAGTGCTAAGTGATTTATCTTGCCCCGCTTACTTACATGAAATGCATTCATTGTCAGTGCTTGGGCAACAGGGGCCTTAACCCCACACCTTTTCAAATCGAGTTGAATCAAGTAGCTGTGTCAGAAACCTAAGGGCCTCTAAATAGCACGGCTGCTTCCTACCCTGCTTTGACTGCGCGGCGGGCTCAGAAGTGAGCGGAAGCTTAAACGTCCTTACAACTGAGGGCCTAATTTTTCCTGACCAGGGAAACATCACGAAACTTGAGTCGACTTGTGTAGATTGAGGGTACCAGGTCATCCTTGCTTAAAAACCATGCAATCATTTTGGAGGCCATCCCCAGCCCCATGCTTGGCCAGCTGCGGCCGGGAAGTCCAGGTGGTTCGTGGGCTCGTCCAGCAGCAGCAGCTCTGGCTGTGCGAAGAGCGCAGAAGCCAGGGACACCCTCATCCTGCGCACGGCTGGCTGCTGGCTGCTGGCTGGTGGTTGGTGAATTGCTGCTTTCGTGAGTTGAGTTGGTGTTGTTTGTTGCTGGTTGCTGGTTGCTGGGTAGCTCGGTTTGCAACATGCCGTCCATAACAACATCAAACCCAATCCTCAAAGCACCTATGTGATGCCCCTGTCAACAACTGCAAAGCGCACTTCACAACTGAACTGTGCAAGCTTCTGTGATGTCCAGTTAACAACTGCAAGGCGCAGTTCAAACATGAACTTTGCAAGCTTATGTGATGCAAAAACCAACAGGGCCCCAACACATTCCTACTTGGCTCCGGATGCGACAGTCCAGATCTTCTGCTGGGGGCTAACCCGATCGAGTGCAATATATGGCTAAGAACTTTTTTGAGGGTCTGAAACGCGCGACGCGCCACGCATCTTGTTACGGAGGTCTGCAACGGAGGCCCTTGTTCGCAGGCCTGTAACGGAAAAATATTTCTTGACAAGTAGCAGTATCAGTGGCACAATGTGCGTAGAACAACAAAGAGCAGCAGCTCCCGCCCGACTGTCGCGCTCTTCAGTACAAGCGGAGTATGCAAAGCACGCCTCCGCAGCTCCAGCTTGAAATTTGCAACTGCCAACACAAAGCCAAGCCATGGCAGAAAGGAGGGTCACTGGGTTGGGTCTGTAACGAGGTATGTAACGCCTATGTAATGAGGTCTGTAACGAAGCAAAGCAAAGCGCAGTATGCAACCTCCGCAGCTCCAGCAAGCCCGATAACGAGGTGTGACGGCTACGTAACGAGGTCTGTAACGAGCCCGGGCCGGAGTTGGGTCTGTAACGAGGTATGTAACCGCTCTGTAACAAGGCAAAGCAAAGGGCAGTACGTAAAGCACGCCTGCGCAGCTCCAGCTCATTGCAGGTATTCAACGCGAGCCAAACTGCGCAAAAAGGGGGGTCGCTGGCCTGGGCTGGGTTGGGTCTGTAACGAGGTATGTAACGTCTATTTAGCGAGGTCTGTATCGAAGCGCCCCTCTACAGCTCCAGCGGGCCCGGGGTTGCAATGCAAAAAGCGCAGTACGCAAAGCGCGCCTCCGCAGCTCCAGCTCATGCAGATATTCAACGCAAGCCAAGCTGCGGCAAAAAGGGGGGTCGCTGGCCCGGGCTGGGGTTGGGTCTGTAACGAGGTATGTAACGGCTATGCAACGAGGTCTGACGAGGTCTGTAACGAAGCAAAGCAAAGCGCAGTATGCAAAGCGCGCCTCCGCAGCTCCAACTTGATTGCAGCTATTCAACGCAAGCCAAGCTGCGCCAAAAGGGGCCGCTGCCCGGTCCATACCCCGCCAGCCCTGCAAGCCACTTGACCAGCCCTGCAAGCCACTTGAACTCTGTGCAAATCTCTCTGCGCAGGTTGCTCTGCGCAAGTTGCCTTGTGCAAGTTGCTCTGCGCAAGTTGCCCCGTGCAAGCTGCCGCAAGCTGTGATGGCTATGTAACGAGGTCTGTAACGAGGTCTAGCGGCCACTGTTGGCAAGCTCTCTGTAAGTTGACTCTTCAGCAAAAGCATGCTCTGCAAAGTCCGCTCCGCTGGCACCATGGAAATCACTGAGCGTGTACCAGCTAAGCGGTTTCTTCATCTGAGGCGTGCAACGAGGGTGCAACGAGGGGTGTGTAACGAGTCGGCGGGGTATATAATATAAGTTTATTAATATGATCAAGCAATTGAGGTCGGAAGGTTGAACCCCAGCCACGTGGTCGGAATCTACCCGCCAAGCAAAGAACCGCCAATTGCCAGCAAGATGCGCTTTTCCTTGCCCGTGTTGCCCGCCAATGGGAACTCACAGCTGGCTTTGCCTGGTTTTCATTTTGGTTGTTCAGCTCTTGTTCTATCTGCTTCCATCCGGTTTTGGTGGCGCAGCTCCATCCTCCAGCCACCGGACAGCGCGGAGGTGGGAGTGTTCAGCAACTCCTCCGAGAACTGCAAGCCTCTCGGATACGATGACGCGTCACTTGAGATGACGTAAGGCTAGGGTCTCCGAGCCAATGACCAACACTCGCGTCCCCCCAAAGTCTGGTGGATTGCAACAAATTCCACAGCAAGCCCCCAAGAAACCTTCATGGGTGAGGACGCAAACCTTGCGAGGCGGTTGTAAGCTGTCCGGATATCGCATATTTGACTCTTGAGCTAAGGGTGCCGATCTGCAATTGACCGAGGCTATGCAATACCTTCTCCCAAACATCCATCGTCGAACAGCCCTCCGGCGCCTGAATTTGGAGGCCCCTAACCGCATCAAAACCTACGCGCAAGCGAGACGGCCTCGCAAGATCTTGGTGGCCCTGGGCTCGGCGTCATCGCTGCCGATCTCTTGCCTTGGGTCGCTTGGGTTCCCGGGCCTTCCACCTTCCGGGATCCGGGGGCGGTTCGGGGGGTTCGCAAATCTACTCAAGAAAGGCCAAGGCAACAGCCTAAACCTGTCAAATCCAAGACCCACCATTTGGAAAGCCATTGGAAGAAAACAAATCTAATGGACCTTGGGCTTGCCATGTGTTCCTTCCACTTGCTTACGCCCCCTGGAAAAAAACAATCATAGAAACAACAAGTAGATTTGACTCCTTTTATAACCCACAGGGGGAACATAAAACATGTTCTTAAGCAAAATGGAAGGTGAGCAAGCCCTAGTTGAGGGTTGAAAACGCTTCGGAGGTGCAGGCGCTCCATGACCTGCTTCAGGCGCTCGGACTCCTTCTCGTCCTTGGCGTCTTTCGCCTGCAGCGTCGCCTGCTCCTCCAACAGCATCCTGCGGCTGAACCCTCCGAGTCTCACTGGGCTGTTCGGTAAATGGGGGTTGGCCCATCCGATTTGCAATAATTTCTATAGTGCCACCTCTACAAAGGGGCGCCCACTGCGGAACCCAGGGGAACAATCAATCCAAATTATCTTTGAAAAACCCAGTTCTCCTTGAGCTGTTGCCTTTTTATGGCTCAGAACAAGGCCCCCCGCATCAATTGAAGTCCAAGTCGAAAGCCACAGAAGTTCACAAACTCCGGCCTCTCATGTAATTACAGCAAGCAGCCTGTGGCTTGCAGTCGGGGCAGATTGGTTGGAATGAACCTGGACATATTCAGGGCCCGAATGTGTGCGAATCCGTCTCCCTCCACCCGCCTACGCTCAACGTCGCTGTGCAGAACCCACTCCACAGGCTTTCGGTCGTCTCCCACCACCTCCTGCTCGACCATCAGCACCTGACGCCCAAGCTCCTTCTCTTCAGAGCAGATATGATCTCCACAGCCAACCCCGCCGCAAATGTACAACACCCATGCAAAAGGCGCCCTTGAACTATTCGCAACTTGTTCCACAACCGGAGGCCCGGCCTTCAGATTCTTGGGAAACTTGTCGAACTTGTAGTACGCGATCTCGCGGAGGAGCGTACTTTTCCCCGCGCCGTTGCGGCCGATGAGACCATAGCGGCGGCCCTGCGGGGCCGCAACAAATACCTGCCTGCAATAGAAAGAGCCAACAAAAAGGGAAGGGGCAACTGCAATGCAAGCTTTGGCAAACCCACCCTCCTGCACAACGCTTGACATGACTTGATTGACAGGCCATCTCCAACGGCAATGCCAGTATGCTCAGCGCGCAAACTGGCCAGGGCTTCGAAGGGGCCAAGGCAAAGCAAATGCCCATCGGCAGCCGAAAGGACGGCAAGCAAACAAGACGCCCCTTTTCCCCAGAAGTTTCGGAGTTCGATTTCTATTTGCTCTGGTCGCGCATCTTGATAAAACCGATTCTGCCCCCCCTCTTGAACCCATCACAATCGTTTTCGCCTGGTTCAAGGTCAGGTCCGTGCCGATGAGCAGCTCTGAGCCATCCAGGGACCGCAGGTCGATGCTGGGCAGCTTGATGTCTGCCCTCGGGGCCCCCATCTTCTGCCTCGCCTGGAGGTACACCTGGCGACACGGACGTTTTCGCGTTTTGAGGCTAGGCAACGCGGGCAATCAAATGAAACCACTTGTTATTCTGAGAGCTACCATGCTTTGCAAAAACCCCAACAATATTTTTGAGGCACGGTCAAACTGAGTTGCCCAAGGTTGCCCTCCCCCGAAAGTTCAGTGAGTTCCCCCACATCCCTCCCACACAAGCCCGTCAAAAACACTTTGGACCAAACCTCCGGGCTTCACCACACTCGCTTCCGAGCTTCCCGGGCCTGCAAGGCCTTCTCCACCTCCGAGGGCCCGCTCAGCGCCTTCTCCTCCTGCTTCTTGGCCGCCTCTAACTTCTGCTTCGCCTACATCGCACGGCTCGGGTCAAGGGGCCTGCTGGGAAACACGACCGAACTTCAGATACAGGTGTTTTTTATTCGATCTGCCCAAGAGCACACCAAGATCCCATCCAACCTGCGTCGACACCGGCTTCGTACACGTTGCGCTGAAATAGAATGGGCGTTCCCCCAAATGTGCTCCGAATCCCTTCTAAAATGGGCCACCTTTCTGCATTGATCACCCAAAAAGTCATTTTTTAATTGGCGGCCCATCACGCAAACCCTTCAAAGGTGCCATGCCTTCTCCGCCTTTGCAGCTGCATTCTTTGCCGCGAGGCTCTTCAGCGCTCCATCCTTGCCTTGGGATAGGGACGTGACTCTCATATTCGTCAGGCGAGTGAGGGGCAAGGGCGCCAATTGTAGAAACATGCCGAACTTTCGCGAAACTGGTTGAGGCAGGAAGCTGCGGGTGTCTGACAAGATTCTTATTTCTGTGTTGCTGGGTGATGTTTTGCGCAGGTCCGCAAAATCATTCATTGAAGAGTCAGTTTCTGAAGACCCAGACAAACTCCACGCCTTCAATGGTCACCCGGCCATCTTCGACATGCCAGATCTCGTCACAGGTGTCTTTCAAGAAGTCTGCGTTGTGCGTGACCACGATCGTGCCGCCCTTGAAGAACCTGATCGCCTTTGCCAGCGAGTTCACCGTCCTGGTGCGGAATCGGCAGCAGGGCCTTTTGGACACAAGGGCAGTTTGTGGCATGTAAGGTGGTGTAAAAGCGACTGCCCTGGCACCAAGGACGGGTCATGGAGACAGCAACTCTGCAAAAGGCTAGGGCCTAGCCGATTTGGGGACTGAGAGCTTGCCTTCAATCGACCAAGAATAAGTGACTTTGGAAGGACGTATGGCCCCCAACATGTGATGTGGATTGCCTGTCGAAGGTATGCCAAACTGCTCCCGACAACAAGCTTTTCGTGCCGTCGCCTGTGCGGTCGCGCTCGTGTGGATCTTGCCTGCAGCCAAGAGACTGGAAGTCCAGATAGTTGGTCGGCTCATCAAAGGCGATGACGTGGGGCTTCGTCCACATGGCAGCAGCCATCATGAGCTTGCCTTTGCAAGGCCGGGTGTCACGGCTCAGGCTGCATCTTGGCCACTTCGCACAAGGCACAAAATGGCCTGACACATCAGGTGTTGCCACCTGCAAACACATCAGCGAACCTCACGCCGCGGATCGTCCCAAATTCCGGATTCTGGCGGCCCACTTTACCCTGGCTCTCAGGTGTCCCATGGTTTGGATGGGCAGCTTGACTTGAACCCTTGGCTCCTGGCCCTTGGGTGTCACATGAGGGGAAGTCAGCCGCTTGCCACCAGAGGCGTGCTGTCTGTTCTCAAGTGCTGCTCTGGAGCTCTTCTGGCCAGCAGAGAAGCCCTCAATCATCCGGTGGCAGGTCATCTGCTCAGAGATGCCGAAGGGCTCCTCGAGCTGAACACCACACATACATTTCAAACCAGAAAGAAGGAATCCCCAAGTACGGAACCTTTCATCAGAAGCTTGTTTTACTCAATCATCCTAATTTGCCGCTGGAAATTGCCTTGCCTGGTGCTCATCAAACAGCATTTGGACAAATCAAGTGCATACATTGTGAAGGTGATGGCAGAAGAAATACAAACGCAACACTCAGAATCAAGCACTGGACAAGCATCCACAAAACTCGGCTGGGGCGCACTCATTCATGCATGGGATGTATTTGTTGGGCACTTTCCTCATCGCTTGAGAGACATTGTTGGTGGTTTCGGGACGTCTGTGCCCTTGCCACATCATGTTGTTCTTTCTTGGTTGGTGTACGGATCCTCCAACAGTCCTGCTGGTTTGATTGTTGGAGGCACTGGGCTTGGATTCAATTTTCTATCGGTTTGCGATGCTTTTGGAACATCCATGACCTTGTCCTCTGTTTGCACCTGCTTTGGGTCTTACTCAGTTCGATCCAGCGCTAATTGCTTGGCCCGAATTGGGCGCTCAGCAGAGTGGCGAGAGATTCCCCAGCCATCCTGGCTTGAAAGGGGTGGAATTCTATTGGAATTGTAGATTCTCCAGCTATCCAGGCTTGAAATTCTTTCATAAGTTTCAACAAACGAAAGGCGCGGTTCCCGGTTTCGACGCGTCCAAAGATCGCCAGGGCGCCAAATGCTTCACGATCTCTCTGGTGCTCAGCGGGCGCATGGAGGTCTCTGCGCAAGCGATCCGGTCATCCAGCGCAGCGCCTCAGAGAACGGAGCTCAATGACCCTTCTTTGGTGGCAATCCCTAAGAGGAAGGGGGGTTGGGGGGTTGGGGGGGGGGAGGGGGGTTGGGGCAGATGTGCGTTTGTTGGGGCCATGAGCTGACACGTGCTGGGAAAGGAGAGGAATGACCGAACCAGCCAACATATGTTTTCCACACATTTCAAAGTGAGTCGGAATTTGTGCAACGAACTTCAACGCTTTGGTATGCAAGCAGTGCAGCTACCCCAAGTCAGGCGCATGCCTTTTGCGGCCAACTACAGCCCAGAAGCTCTGCGCAGGACGCCCCCTTCATGAACAGACTACGCGTTCCAGGGGTGGGATGCCCCGACTGATTTGGCAGAACTTCTGCTCAATGTTTCGTTTGCATTGTTGCGGGAGCGTGTTGGTTTGGGGGGGGCGGGAAACTTCTTGCTTGTACTTCGTCCATGCTAGCACATGATGGTGGGGTAGGGGGCGTGTCGGGGTTGTGTTTGATAGATCACTTGGCCCATGTTATGTGACGCTCTGAAAGCGTCTCTGAGACTCAACGAAATCACCTGCACCTCACCAAAACAGACAACATCACAAGCTGTTTTTGGCCGCATGGTTTTGAAGGGGAGGTGAGGCATCAAAAGGCGCTTGGATGCGCTTGGGAAGCCGCGCAAAGGGAGGTTGGCACGCCGGACTTCATGGGCAAATCTGCGTCAGAAAACGAGCTTGCAAGCAGTCATCGGCTGGTAGCCAAAGAGACCTGCGTCGCCGGATCGACATCTTAAGACATCGACGGGAACGATCCCAAACTGGGCAACATGGGGCCCAAGCGATCCAAGAGTTGCCGCCTGCTTGCGCGAACCCGCTCCCTTGAGCTCTGCACACATCTTCTCCACCCCCAGGAGCCGCAGCTTGGTCAAGGGCTCGTAGGTGTTCCTCGGAACCATCGAGGCAGCCTGCTTGACAGACACGGCCCATCAATGCAAAGGTTGTGCTAGCGCTTGTGCCCAGTCCAAGCACAAGTCCGCGCAAACCGCAGAACCAAACAAATGCATGTCTCGCGAAAGGATTGAGGCCCTCTCAGAGCAACAGCACACTGCTGCGCATTGAAAGCCACGGCAGGAGGTTTCATGACTGGGCAAACGCCCAGTCTGCAAGTTGGAGAAGGAATGAATCCGAAACAATAATTCCTTCCCCCAAATAATAAATACTATATTGTCCAGACTTTTCAGCCTGATCCCCAATACTATTTTTAGAACGGCCAAAATCAAAACCATTACTAAACTATCCGATGTCTCCACCTAGATCAGCCCCAGCCTTATTATTAGGGAGCTCCTTGCACCAACCCAATACCAAATTCTAAATGCATACTTGATCTTTAATAATTTACATTCTTGAATTGCAATTCTAAGTTTAAACTGCGCCCTTTATTTTTGAAGAGCCAAAACGGGGAAAAAAAAACTTGAACTGTTTATTTAAATTCGTTACTCGGAAAATTGCGGTTTAGAGGTTTTTCGTGTCCGGGAAGGGAGCCCATTTGGACGAGGACCGAAGAGAAAATCCGGTCTACCCCGCAGGACCCTATTAATAAACAGACTTTGTCCCCCAGAGAGTACTTATTATTAGCGGGGCTCCGAGACCATTTTGACATGGGGAATAAAAACAATGATAGCTCCAGGCGACAACAATATTTTAGACCAGCAACAACTCGGTCTTGGCCTTTGTTTTGCGGGGTGCGAAGTCTTTCGTCAACACAGGAAAACAACAAGGGACGAACAAAGGCCACCACTGACGTCAGGGCAGGCCTGAGTCCTGCACACTTGCCCGGGAGGATTGGACAGGGTTTTGACCCACAGCCATATGGTTCTCCATGCGTAGGCCGAGCAAGTCTGGCAGAGCCTCAGCCTCCTTTGGTGCGAGGCTCTGCTTGGCGTCATCCAAGCCTTTCCACTTGACCTCGTAGAGGATCTGCTTGCCTCTCCTGAGCCAGAGAGCGCGCAAGGTGGAAAACCCAAGGCAAGCACGCAAGCAAGCAAGAAAAAGAGACAGACTTTCAAGTCCAAAACAACCTTGAGGACACAAATCGTGGTGCACAAGCTGCTGGACGTTTGTGCCACCGGGATCCGTTGCTTTGAGGGCTGCCCATCGCAATGGATGACAGTTGACTACCGCCAGCACGCGCTCATGAAAAACAACATGCCTTAATGACCTTCGGCTGCCTGCCTGCACGGCTGCCTGCTGCATGCTTGAGTCTGCATGCAGCAAGTTTGCAAAGCATCTTTCTTTCCCTGAAGCCATGTTGCATCTCGGTGTTATTGTGGATGAGCCGGACATCGCAAATTGGAAACCATCCCTGCACCAGATTGAACAGCCCGTGGTTGTGACCCACCAACCCTGCATTCCGCTGGCAACTGGAACTCCATCCTCAGCGGCCATGCGAAAAACTGAGCTCTGCTGTCGGGCATCTTCTGTCGGGATAGCAGTGCCTCAACCTCCTTGCCACGCTTCCCATGCTGCGCGGCCATGTCCTGCGGGAAGGTTTGCGTCCTAAGAATTGCCCTGGTAAAAGAGCTGGAACTGAGTCAAGTGGTTCAACCGCGGAACGTGGTCGTTCTGCCGGCAGCGCACTGATTCCCACTCTAGTCAACCTATGTTTGTCTATAGCTATAGGGCACACTGATCTGCGCATTTGACCCGTCATTCCTTGAAGCAGTCAATGCTTCAAATCGCAGGCCCCAACAAACACTTTGCGACCGTTCGTACAAGTCCGAGACCATGCGCACTTGCGCACTTTAGCGATCTGAAACCATTTTGAGCGCCCGAGAAGCGATATGATGATCCATGACGTTAATGGGAACCAGGGAGGCACCAACTCCCAGGTGATTGTAGAATAGGGATTCGCATTAGAGGTGATCCTTCAGTTTTGGAGTAGCACCCCGCCTCTTTGCTTGTCGAATCAAAAAGGTGGAGGGGATGCAGAAATTCGGCGCGCCTTGCGGTATTTTTCCTCTTCTTCGTTCTGGGGAAGCGTGAGCCGGCGCTGCGTCTCCTCATCGTAGCCTTGCCTGCCGGAGACGCGCCTACGCAAGGTGCCTTGCATTTGATGCTGGGCAGGACAACATGTCATTAAGGTCATCGCAATGCCCTGTTAGCCAAGCCAAGCTAAGCTTTCCCGGTGTTCACCACCCGCTCCATCCTGCCTAAAGCGAGTTTGAAAATAATGCAGTGGGGTGCTCTTCAGAAACTCGGAGAGGTGAAAGAAGTGATGCTGCGCCTTGGCTTGTCCATCCTCGCGTCTTTAATCTCTCATGCGCCTTGCAATCCGGCACATCCCGCTGCCGCACACAGCAGCGGCAGTGAAGAAATCCAAAAAGAGAATGGCTTCCTTTCGTTTTCGGGATTTAAATCCTTTCCAAGTCTGGGAGGCCTAGCATAACCAACAGTGGGGCTTTCCTTTTTGCTTGAATCAAGCTGAATAAGCAATTCGGGTCCTGGAAAAGCTGGTCAAGGTCAGTCACATTCTCTAAATCGCAGATCAAGTTTCCAGTTGCAGAGCTCGGGCTGATTTCTCCAAGCTGCGATGTAGGCCAGTCTAAGGTTCCTGTGCCGCCAAACAGCACTGACCTGAGCAGCGCTCGGGACAGGTTCGACGCTTCGACGTCGTGAGGCATGGCCAATGAGGCAGAAAAAACAGTCCGATACTAAGACACACGGAACTGCCCAGGGGATGTCTAAAAGGGCACTTCATTCAGCTTTCGCCTCACTCGGAAATGCAACAACTTGGCGACATTGACATCCGACGGGTCATCTTTCGAGGGCTCTTCAAAGCCGCATTGTCGTTGTTGCCACCTGGAGGAACTTTGCCTTGACATGGTGCAACAAGGGAAGCCACCTTTAGAACAGGCCCCCGCCCAAAGAGTTGTGTTTCTTCCCTTGAGAGGTTTGCCCTAAACGCCAAAGAGTGTAATGTTGACCTTGGATGAATAAACCCCTGTTTATTACTATGGGGATGTCCCTGGTTTTAGTGGGAATCATCACTTTTGGAGGGGAACACTCCCCTATATTAATAAACAGGGGTTTATTCATCCGGGGTCACCATTGCGGGTACCCGCTCCACACAGACCCTCTCACACCTTTTGACCAGCCTCGCCGGTCTCGTCCTCCGGAGGCAGCAACTCTCCGGCGAGCAGGTTCAGGAGCCTTGGGGCTCCGGCGCCAAAGTCGTGGTGGGGACCCTTGCGGTTGTTCCCATTGTTACCTTCAAACTTCAAGGAGTAACAAAATGGGTCCAAAGAAAATAGGGGTTGGGGACCCTTTGTGAACTTTGAGGAGTAACAAAATGGGTCCAGTCCTATCAGTGAAATTGTATCTTTCTTGAAGAACCGTCCATCTTGAAGAACAGCGAACAAGGACACGCTGCACGATAGACTCCAAACGTGCCAGTGACAGCCACACCAGCAGAAACCTCGAGGGTTGCGCTGGCCCTTTGAAGCACGGATCGTTTCCCAGCATGTGCTTTCGCTGCTTCGCAGTCTTTCTACTGGGGAGTATGTAGCAGTTGACGCAACTACGTTGTCAATGTCAGTAGCCCATATAGGAGGGCCGAAGAAACAAACGTTTCGGGACAAGCTCGTCTGTCCCTCATCAATGCTAGCGCAACTTAGCATTGCCAATTAGGCCAAAACAAAGTTGAGCTGTCCAACCCCTAACAAGCCATGATGAATCCCGGGTGGTTTCTCGCCAGGCAATTCCAAACCAGAGGTGCCCACCCAAAGAGAACTCGAAAGGTACAAACTGCCCAAGAGAAACAAAGCTGGACATCTGTCAAACCACAAAACCCCGCTGGTGAACCACAGAGAAAAAAAAGAAAAAAAGAAGAAGACAAAAGAACGCATCTCTCAAGACCTCTGTGTAAAACAACCCACCGCCCCTGGGCCTCGTTGCGCGTCTCCTGTGGCAAAAGCAACATGCGCCGAGGGGCGTTGACTTGCCGGCGCCGTTGCGTCCGACCACCCCAATCCGGCTGCCCATGGTAAGCCTCACCGTCACCTCTTTCAGCCTGCAGCGGAGAAAACCCATGGCCCAATGGCGTTGGATGCTAAGAGGAGCCACTTGAACTGGTGAAAGCCAAGGTTGGGGCATTCAACTCCTGTTCTGTTGAGAGGACATGCAGTAAAATCCCTGCCAAACACTTCACAATTGACCCCCCCCCCTTTGCAAAGAGCCCAGGCCCAAGTTGATGCATTCGGGCGTTCCATGCAGCCGACCCTTCCGCAGTGAGACGTGAGGAGAAGATCTGGCATGAGCATCACAACACAATGCTCTAAGCAGCTGCACGCAGGCAGCGTTCCCTGCTGCAACGTGTGAGCATCAACATCAAGGAATGGCATGCCAAATGCCTGGGCCGTTGCGGGGAATAAGGCGGCTCCCTCACGCAAGCCATTCTTCAGATCTGCCCAAGCCGCAGCTAAGGCGGTCAAGTGGCACCAACGGGCCGTCCTCGAAGTATTTAAAGTTCAGGTTCGTCACCTGAAGAGCCCTCTCCTTTCCCCAAACCCAATACAAGACAATACTCTTAGGAAGCACCTGGGGCAACAAACCCAAGTCCCATCTATCCATTGCCTCGCTTGACTGGGTGCCTTTGCCCTGATGTAAGTGACGTCCTGGCCGTCCAGACTAGGGGCCCATCCGAGTGGCCTATGGGTTGCAAAGCTGCAGGCCAACTAAAGTTACATCTGATTAACGACAACCGGCTTTGAACGGTGACAGCTTCCAAAACCTGCGTGGCCTTCCAACAGGTTTCGCTGTGGCCGTGTCAAGGAAACCAGGCCCGGCCGTGGCCACGGGCTTGCTGGCGGTGCCCAGGCCCTCGATCTTTCCTGCAAGCGGCAGAGCGGTGGCCGGGAGTTTCTCCGCGTGGGGAACAGCCCCAAACAAGCGGGAAGGTGGTCGTTTTTGAACGCGTGTTTTGGCTCGTTTTTGAACGCGTGTTTTGGCTCGTTTTTGAACGCGGTTTTGCTCAAGTGTATGTGATTTACAGCAGCACGGCCATTTTCCAAGTGTCCATGCACACCACGATGAGGCGCACGAACACGCACCACGATGCACGTGTAGCACATGGATGGCGCCGTGCTTTTGGGAGACAATCGTCAACTGTAGACCCGGGAACACAAAGCACAAGGAACGCAAAGCGACAACATCATCATCATCATCATCATCATCATCATCACCATCACCATCATCATCATCATCGTCGTCAACATCATCATCATCATCATCATCATCACCATCACCATCATCATTACCATCATCATCAACATCGTCATCATCACTACCAACAACATCACCATCATCAACATCAACACCAACATCATCATCACCATCATCAACATCACCACCAACATCTATATCATCATCATCATCATCATCATCATCATCAACAACACCGTCAACATCACCATCATCACCATCATCATCATCACCATCATCATCACCATTATCATCATCATCATCATCATCAACATCACCATCGTTAAAATTATCATCAACATCGTCAACATGAACATCATCACCATCATCATCATCATTAACAACATCATCACCATTATCAACATCAACGTCGACATCACCATCATCATCGACATCATCAAAGTCATCGCCATCGACATCCTCATCGGCAACATCAATATCATCATCATTAACATCATCACCATCATCATCAACATCATCACCGTCATCATCATCATCATCAACATCATCATCATCATCATCAACATGGTCAACATGCCGCACGGTCACGCAGTAAGAGGCGAACGTAACTGCCCCACCCCATCCCCCCCCCCTCAGGACGCAGTCGCGCGGTCACGCAGCAAGAAGCGAACGTAACTGCCCCACCCCACCCCCCCCCCCCCAGCCCCAATACGCAGTTGCGCCGCCACGCAGTAAGCGGCGATCGCAATTCCAGGAGGCTCCGATTCGCAAGTTACTTAGGCCGTATGAGCTAATTAGGAGGTTTTTTGTGTCGCGAGGACGCGATAACTCAGAGCTTGAAATTTCACGAGTTTTCACGGCTTTTTCACGGAGTAGTAGC